AAAGGCATACACCAAGGAGGGAGGTAGAGGGAAAGAAGAGGGAGGCGTTTTGTTCTGGAGATGAGTGTCTTGGCTACGGAATTGATCTGGGCTGGGAGGTGGGGTGAGAGTGCGTGCAGATAGCGGTTAGTGTGTGTTTTCTTCTAGTAGATGGTGTGTCCTAAGGAGCCGTTAGATTTCCTGTAGACTAAGACGTCCAGGAAGGGGAGTTGGTTGTTTACTTCTGTTTCCATGGTGAACTGTATTTTGGGGTGTAGGCTGTTGAGGTGTGTAAGGAAGATGTCCAGTTGTTCTTTCCCATGTGGCCAGATTATGAAAGTGTCTACGCTCCAGGGGTGGGTTCTGGCAGGCACTATGGCCGGTTTGCTCATGGGCGCGCTGTGCATAAAAAGTGTCCTGCGCATGCGCAGAACTGAAAAACAAGGTGGCTGTGCCTATCATGCTGCCCAGAAAATGAGTTCAGGGGCATGGCAGAACTGGGTCATTGCTGGTTCCAGCAACCCAGGCTCCCGGTTTGGTAGTGGTAGAACTGGTAGGAACCCACCACTGATACGCTCACATTTCCAGTGGACATTTCAGAAAGAAGGAGAAAATGATAGCCATTTATAAGTAACATAATATTCATAATTAACCAATCTCAGGTAACCTGCCCGTCCTTCTGCTGTTACCAACTTTAAGACAGAATTTTTGTCATAATAAAAGAAGCATATTGATTGCCACAATTATTCATTTAGCGTAGGACGATGGTACGGTTAGCCAGGAGACTACAATACGAATTGTTTAATACTTTAAAATCGCTGTGACCTGTGCTTTGAATGTGCCGCTTTTCAGTTTAATATGGCTTAACGAAGAACTTTTTTTTACCCAAACCAACTTGTAGCATTCTTTTTTTGTCCCTGCCACCCTCTTTGCCCTCAACCTTTAACGTGTCCTTTGTTTCTCCAGAACCTATATATGCCGACAGCAGGACCAAAGACCATCTCTGCCAAGAGTTCTGTTCCCTGCACAGTGAGAAGCAATTTTTTTCTTTTGCAAAATGTACAGCTGAAGCAGTGGTGGGTTCCGGATCCCAGCGCAACTGATATGGTGCAACGGGGCCCATTGTCCACCACATGAACATCAGGGTTACAGGGTTACAAAGGGCTACTTTTTAAAAAATAAATTTTTATTTTATTTTGATATAAACAATCCATCTTCTATTAAACAGTGTGTCATCTGGGTACAAGTATTTGTGCAAACAATTAAGATTTACAATCATATTCATTATTCAATCCTTTCTTAGCTTAATACCAATACCTTAAGTGTCTAATACTATAACTATCCTCTTCATATTTATTTAATTCTATTAGTTATATTAACTATTGATATATTTTCTGTATTTTACACAACTCCTTTTATTACTAGTTCTTATATTTACTCTCTAACCATTGATAAAATGCTTCCCATACAATATAATAATCAGTTTGTTCTTTCTCTTTAATAGCCAACATTAATCTGTTCATTTCTGCACATTCTAATATTTTCCTCATCACATTCTCTGTAGGAATCTCTTCACTTTTCCAGTTTTGTGCACATACAGTTCTAGCTGCTGTTATGACATGGATATTCACGTATACATTTTCTTTACTATAGGTTTCTGGTAATCCCCAATAAGAATATTTCAGGTTTTAAATCAATATGTTGTTATGTCATATTTTGCAACCATGTATGAAGCAAAAAAAATAAATTGGATGAAAATACAGGGGGTTACTTCTGAGTCTCCACCTCTTTCATTTTTTCCTTCCTACCATCAGCTCCTTTCTGTGACTGATGATATTTTAGTTCTAGCCATAAGGGAAAATTGGACCAATGATGAATGATGGAAGCTGCTTAAAACCAGATCAGAGTGTTGACACATTTAGATCAGTTGTTTTTTTAGACATGGTGGCAAGGGCAGGGGTCTCCAACCCCCGTTCCCTGGACTGGCACCTGGCCACGTCATGCCAGTCACTGGGATGGAAAAACAAGCAAAGTCCCCTCTGTGGAATGCAGGCAGCATGCAAAACCAGCCCCTCTCCAGCCAATGGAAAAAGGTTGGGCTAGGGAATTCTGGGAGTTGAAGTCCATGCATCTTAAAGTTGCCAGGTTCAGGAAGACTGTATTATATATTGCCCAGAGGTTGTCCATCCCTTCTTTAGTGAAGAAAAGCAGAGCCGTACTAGAAAGTTATCGTTTGTTTTGATGTCTTTTACGTTTGATACTTCCTGACTCAATGTAACTCTGGATTGGTTTTCAGAAGCTGCTACCAGATCCAATTCTGAAGCTGAAGAAGATTATTGGGTTTGGGGGTTGCAGCACCAAATGGGTCAGTATATCCTTATTTAAGCAGCATATGTCTCTCCAGCAGGGGGAGTGATGCGGTGGCCTAGGGGTGGAGCTCTCGCCTCACAATCAGGAGGCTGTGAGTTTGATCCTAGGTAGACACAACTATTTCTCTCTTTGGGCACGACGATGAAAGGCCTATGAAGCGGTATATAAGTCTACTGCTATTGCTATATCTGCTGAACAAAACTCCGCATTGGTGACAGGAAGGGCATCCGGCCAGGAAATGCTCTGTTAGCTCCATTCAGTTTCCCAGACTCCACCCTGCAAGGGATTATGGGGTTGTTAAAAGATGATGATTTCTTTCCAGCGGGGGAAGAAAAAGCATGTGTGCCTTAGACAAAAAAAAACAAGATAAGCATGCAACATAATAGGTAAGCAGGCTTCCAAGCAAAATGAGACCTTATTCTGGGGTGCATCATCCCTCTAGGTCTTGGAACAGCATAGTAGAAGAAGCCATGTTTGCAAAACTAATAGATTAAGCCAGGGTAAAGGTTAACATTTGACCTCCAATTAAACCTAGTTTGTATGATTCATTCTGGTAACATACACAATTACCATAATGCAGTATTGTTCATTTTGTATGCTATTCAAAATGACAAGTTAGAGATTGAGGGCACCTGCCTGGCATCTGGGTGTCCCAGCAGCCCCAGGCCCTGAGAAGGGGCACCTCTGTTATGAAGGTACTGATGTTTTCTTCTTTTTTAATCCAGGCATTGTGGGCTTCCGGCAGTGCTGTAGTGGTGTACCCTTGCCACGCTCTGATTGTAGCCACAGCAATTGATTCTGGCAAACAGAGGTTTTTTGCTGGCCACACCAACAAGGTATTTCCTTCTCCTTTTCCCTTACATTTTAACCTGAATTCAAATATAGACATTGAAATCATGTTTTATATGGAAAATGCCTAAGCTTCTGTTTCTTAAAATAGGCAACTTTAAGATTTCAACTCCCAGAATTCCCCAGCCAGCACTGGGAATTCATATTAATTACCCGATTTTTCTATCAATTTTCACGCATTTGTCTTGATTTTCGGAATGCTGTCAAATCAGCATTAGCCTCTTCAAGTATTTTTTATTGCCGATGATCTTTTATTCTTGCCCTTCTTTTGTTCTTGCCCTGTATCCCTGCATCCTTTTGATTCGGGTAATAACTCCCAAGAGTGTGACCTAACTTCCCTGTTCTGACCGAGGCTTCCCAAGAGCATGAAGCAAACTCCTTCTTCCGACAAAACCCCCTTTTTTAATTTCCTGTGAATTCTGCTCATTCACATCCAGCAAAGACTTTCAAGGGAGGATTTACAGTCAGAGACCTTATCTAGCTTGGAGAGCTGCCAGGCCGATATCTGCAAAACCTGGCAAGGAGTCTCGGAGAGTCACGAACCAATTAAGTGAACTAATGGTCACCTGCAAACTCCACTCCCCTTTCGCTCCTCTTTTATTTCCTCTGGGAGGGGCCACTCATCGTCCACCTGTGGCCTTACTCCCACGTCGACCCCTGTTCTTTAGCTGTTCCCTTCATCTGGCAACTGCACATGCTCACACTGGGAACAAGCTCCAACTGTTCTTCTGCCTCACTGATGTCTGACTCTGAAGGCAGCTGATAAC